GCAACTAAATCAAGAATACAGTATATCGCTGATCCATGATTAAACTTCGACTGAGTGAGATCATGTCCATGGTTTTAAAGAACGTGAATTTCGTTCATATAAAACATTTGTTTAAGCATCTCTTGTCCTTTAGTTATACGTCACTCTCTCTCTGTATCTTCTCTCTCTCTCTCTCTCTCTGTGTATCTTCTGTGTGTGTGTATCTTCTCTCTCTCTCTCTGTATCTTCTCTATCTCTCTCTCTCTCTATCTTTCTCTCTCTGTTTCGTCTCTCTCTCTCTGATTCTTCTCTTTCTCTCTGTCTCTCTCCATCTTTGCTTTTATGTCTGCGAAACAAGAAGCAGAAATTCGTCCTCTTCAGCGTGCTCTGACACCGACTCCCAATCCGACAGCCGTGTTATCAAGCCCGACTGCCTCGTACAGTGTCAGTGGCTCACTCCGAGAATTTCCTCCTACACAGTGACGCATTTTCCTGTCTCTCTTCGAGCATGTCCACATACCTACTTACTTACAGCGGGGACGACTTCTTACGAGAAAGAAGGAAAAAAAGAAAGGTCGCGTAGCCATTGTCATTATGGCGACGCGTGTCTCTTTTCTCTTTCGGTGTCAGGGAATCGATTTGGTTGCAATGATCGAGTCTAAATAGTTTCGTTTTTTGGAGGTAACCGTAAAGAGTGAGGCGCCATTTTGAAATATTTTCGCTTTTGAGTTAACCGTAAAAAAATGAGGCTCCGTTTTGAAACATTTTCGCTTTTGAGTTAACCATAAAAAAATGAGGCGCCATTTTGGAATATTTTCGCTTTTGAGTTAACCATAAAAAAATGAGGCGCCATTTAAAGATATTTTCCCTTTTGAGTTAACCATAAAAAAAAGAGGCTCCGTTTTGAAATATTTTCCCTTTTGAGTTAACCATAAAAAAATGAGGCGCCATGGAGTTAACCGTAAAGAGTGAGGCGCCATTTAAAAAAAAAAAAAAAAATGAGGCTCCGTTTTAGGACAGCTTTCCGCCCGGTCTCCTCGTCTCGGCACGACCCGTAGGTAGAGCCACACAACGCCGCTGAATACATTTTACGTAACCTTCTTCGCAATTGCAAATCTCCAAACTTCGCTCTCGACTACGAACTCATCCGACCCTCTTATCGCAACGCGCCTTCAACCTGTCGCAAAAAAAAGGGGTTAGAAAAGGTCTTTAAAAAGGCCCTTAAAATGGCTAGCATTTCGCAAGCGTGTGGAGCAGGTCTTAAGGTGTGGAAGGAGGCGAGAGCGAGCGAGTGAGCGGGTATGGTGCTACCCTGTTATCATGCGACAGTCATCCTGTGTGCGCCGAGGCAGAGCTTCTGTCATCAAGAACAGGAAAAGACTTTTGTCGCCATGTGCCGCTCACAAAGTCCCGAATCCCTGCTTTCACGATGGAAATGACCTAATCCCTGCTTTCGAGATGGAAATGACCTAATCCCTGCTTTCACGATGGAAATGACCTAATCCCTGCTTTCACGATGGAAATGACCTAATCCCTGCTTTCGAGATGGAAATGACACGAGCACCCGCGATTCTCTAATGGCCGGAGAATCCTCACTCTGATAGCTTTTAAATGCCAGGCAGTATCTTTATCTGCTTCGTGTGTGCGTGCGTTTGCGTGTGCGTGCGTGTGTGCGTTTAGGACTTAACCTGTGCGCAGGAGACGTCAAGTGAAGCGAGGACATTTCACAAGTTACTGACGGTCGGGTTTTGTTGACAGCAACTGCGTGACGTCACTTAAAATAGTTTGACAGAACTCGATTCCGGAGTGGACCGCTGCGAATGCCACGCCGAGGTTGCAGAATGTGTGTGTGTGTGTGTGTGTGTGTGTGTGTGTGTGTGTGTGTGTGTGTGTGTGTGTGTTGTGTGTGTGTGTGTGTGTGTGCTGTGTGTGTGTGTGTGTGTGTGTGTGTGTGTTTGTGTGTGTGTGTATGTGTGTATGTGTGCAATTATATCAATATATTTTTGCTTATTTACACACGTATATCTATGTGTGTGTACGTATCTCCATTAGAAATGGGTTACTAACCTAGATAACGCACACACACACACGCGCGCGCATCCGAACTCGATATACACATACATAGATGTTGAGAATATACTGGACAGTATATTCCGGTATCATAACAGCAAATAAAAACATAATAGTTATAGTAATAATGATAATGATAATAATGATAATAATAATAATAATGATAATGATAATGACAATGATGATAACAATGATAATTATAACGATAATGATAATAGTAATGATAAAAATAGTAATGATGATAATAATAACAATACAAAAAACGATAATGATAATAATTATGTTAATAATAATAACAGTAATGCATCTTTTCCGCAGAGAGAGAAGTAGAAAGTCAGCTGATAAATTTATGCGAAAATCAATTCAATAAATTCCTTTTATTTACATTTTATTTTAAAAGTTGAGAGGCAGAGGCGACGTGACTTTCCACTAAGAAGAATGCTGTAATCTTTTAAAAACACTTTGCTTAACAAATACTGGCATATTAATTCGTTTACTTCAGTTCGTGATGTTGTGCAATGCTCGTTGGGTTTATTACGGGATGTTGATAAGATTTCAGACGAAGATGATGCAAATAGAATTGATAATTAGAGTGAAAATGATACTCCGTCCACGTTCAGAAAATGAAAAATCTGGCAACTCGCTCTAGATTTCAAAAGGCCTCCGATTCGTCAACTTTCTTTTGAAAAAAAAAAGAATTAGATAAGAAACGAATAAAATACATGAAAATAATAAAGATGCATAAATAAATGAAAAGTAAATTAATAGTAGTACAATGTGCAATTATGTTTAAAATACCAATCATATGTGAATATAAGTATTAAGTGTCGGTTGTTTTAGATTAAAGAAAGATATAGCGAATCGGAGTCCGCCAGTGTCTGAGTTGCCAGTTTCGCATTTCCTGAGATTTAGGCGCACAATAAACATGGAAGAAAGAATGCTTAGAAACTAAAAGGAAAAAAAGGTGCAGTAAAAAAAAAATGTAGAACATAAAAATATGCAAAAACCGATTCATTTATCACTGAAAGAAATGCATGTAGAACTAGAAATATTGAATTGTAGAAATGTAGAACTATTATGGAAATAATGACGAGTTGATATGAAATAAGGGAAAGGGACAACAATACTTAAATAGAACGGAATCCTAAAAAATAGAGTTTTAGAAAAGATGCCGAACTTTCAGGGGGTGCTGGGTTAGAAGTTGCTCCGAAATTGTGTTGCTGGATTAAACTGTTTCCGAAGAAGGGAGAAGTTGGAGTATTTTGATATAGGAAATTTTAGAATATTCTCAGTATTGATGAGAGTCCGATCTGTTTTTCATGTATGCTGATAAATGTATATTTTTCCTTCGAGAAAAATTACGGTTGAGTTTTCAAGACAAAAATTTATTGTGCAAAAGCAAAAATCCCGTAGGTCTTTTCGAGAGTAAAGTTAGAATAACTCAGTTAAATTTTGGGAAAAAAAAATAGTGATCAAATTATGAAGCAAGATAATTTATAAAAATACGTGACGGAAGAATGAGTTTCAAGAAATGATAATAAAAAAGGAATAACAAAATTGAAGATTTTTGAATTGTTGTAAGAGTGTAAGGAAAATAATCTACAAAATATATCTTGATATCTATTATATCAAGCTTTCTGAGGTGATTAGAAAATATGAAACCATTAGACCTTAGAAAATAATGTTCTGAAGAGAGAATAAAAACTTTTTTCTTAGCTATAGCGAAAATCGGCACAGGATTTTTGCTTTTGCACAATAAACTTTTGTCTTGAAAACTCAACCGTATTTTTTCTTGAAGGAAAAATATACATTTATCAACATACATGAAAAACAGATCGGACTCTCATCAATACTGAGAATATTCTAAAATTTCCTATATCAAAATACTCCAACTTCTCCCTTCTTCGGAAACAGTTTAATCCAGCAACACAATTTCGGAGCAACTTCTAACCCAGCGCCCTCTAACATTTCGGCATCCTTTCTAAAACTCTATTTTTTAGGATTCCGTTCTATTCCAGTATTGTTCTAAGATTTTAGTTTTTCTTTTGTATATTGAATAGTTTCGTTTTATGAATATGCGAAGAGAGAATGTCCAGAATTTTTATCATATATGAATATAAAAGGGATTTAGAAGCTGACCGTGAGCTACCACATCAGGCCATAAAATGTTTTGAATTTACACATTTAACATTTTGGCTAAACATTAGTCTCGTTAACCATCGAATTACACATCTTCGCTAAATATTTACACATTTTCGTTAAACATTTGAATATTCTCGCTAAAACATTGACCCATTTTCGCTAAAATTATAGAAAAAGAGAAAACATATACAATTACAAAGAATAGCTTCATACACACGTTACCCCCTCTTCTCCCCCCCTTTCAGCAGGTGGACATATTAGCGCCCTTCGCCAAACCATAAAAAAAAGGAAATAGCCTCATACACAAGCAAAAAAAAAACAAAACAAAACCCCCTTTCTGCTCCCCAATTAAAAAAAGAGAAAAGAAAGAAAGAAAAAAAAAAAACCGCAGGGAATAACCTCATAAGCCCGTAACCCCCCACCGCCCCCCCCCCTTTAGCAAGTGGACATATTTGCATCCTTTCGCCAAATTCTTAAAAAAAAAGAAATAACCTCTAACCCTATTAATAATAGCAATAATAATAATAATAATAATAATAATAATAATAATAATAATAATAATAATAATAAATAATAAATAATATAATAATAATAATAATAATAATAATAATAATAATAATAATAATAATAATAATAATAATAATAATAATAATAATAATAATAATAATAATAATAATAATAATAATAATAATAAGAAGAAGAAGAATGATAATAATAGTATTAATAATATTAATAATAATAACAATAACAATAATAAACGCAGGGAATAACCACATACGCCCGTAACCTCCGCCATCCCTCCCCTCCAGCAGGTGGACGACGCCCACCCCGACCGTGGCAGAGGAGGAGTACCGCGTCCGGTGGGAGGGCCACGGCAACCACCTGGCACAGCACCTGGCACGCCTCGAGCAGGACCCCGCCTCGGCCGACGCCACACTGGCCACCAAGGGCGCCTCCTTCCCCGCCCACAGGATCGTGCTCGCCGCCGCCAGCTCCTTCTTCCGATCCGTGTTGCAGGTGGGGGTTTTAGAATCATTTTTTGTGGGTTTTGTTGTTGATGGTTATTTTCATTGTCGTTTTCATCTATTGTTATCTATTTTCATCTATTATTTATTATTGATGTTTATTTTCATTGTCGTTTTCATCTATTATTATCTATTTTCATCTATTATTTATTGTTGATGGTTATTTTCATTGTCGTTTTCATCTATTATTATTACTACTATTACTACTGCTGTTACTACTGCACTACTACTACTACTACTATTATTATTATCTTTATCCTAATTATTATTAATATCATCATTATTTTCTGTTATTATTATCATAATTATTTTCTATTATTATTATCATCATTATTTTCTATTATTATTATCATCATTATTTTCTATTATTATTATCATCATTATTTTCTATTATTATTATCAGCATTATTTTCTATTATTATCATTATCATCATCATCATTATTACTATTATCAATATTATTACTAGTACTATTATTGTTATTTTAAAACAAACACGCATACCAACAAACAAAGAGACAAACACACACACACCACACACACACACACACACACACACACACACACACACACACACACACACACACACACACACACACACACACACACACACACACACACACACTCACCTCTAACACACACATCCCATCCCCCCCCCCACACACACACACTTCAACAAAGCCCATATTTTCTTCAAGACCTTTTCCACAACCCCGAAATACCTCTGATTAACGCACCCCTCTCCCCCTCCCCCCTTCCCCTCCTTCCCCCCCCCTGAAGAACGTCCCAGTCGGCCAACATCCGGTTGTGGTTGTTCGCGGCGCACAACCCCGCCACCTCCGCTACATCCTCTCCTTCTGCTACACCGGCTGCGTCGACGTGCCCACTCAGGAGCTGCAGGAGGTGGTGAAGGTGAGAGCGAAAGGGCCTGTGTGTTTTTTTTTTTTTTTTTTTTCTTTTTTTTAAGGAGGAGAAGGAGGAGGAGGAGGAGGAAAGTCGTAGAATAGATGTTGTTTTTGTTATATGTCGTCCTGCAAATATAGAATAGAGTCCTAGAATAAAGATGATTTGGATATATGATATATCTTCCTAGGATAAAGACAATTCATATAATGTATCATCCTAGCATAAAGACAATTCATGTGATATATCGGCCTAGAATAAAGACAATTCGAAATGTATCGTCCTAGGATAAAGACAATTCATATACTGCAATATATCGTCTTAGAATAAGGCCAATTCATATAGTATAACGTCCAAGAATAAAGACAATTCATATAATGTATTGTCCTAGCTTAAAGACAATTCAAAATATATCGTCCTAGAATGAAGACAATTCAAAATATATCGTCTCGATATATCGTCCTAGAAATAAGAGAAAATCCGAGCATAAAGAAACACACAGTCAACACACATTCACCTCTTATTTGTCATCATATCTTCGTTGTCATTCCCCCCCTCCCCCCCCCCCCCCCCCCCCTGACCGTGCCCGCCTGACCGTGCCCCCCGCAGCTGGCCGAGGACCTGGACATCACCTCCCTGCGCGTGGACGGCTCCCCAGCGCCCTCCTCGCCGGCCGCCGCTCGCCAGACCGCGGCGCCGTCTTACCGGTCGCGGTTCTTCCGGTCTGAGCCCAAGAGGTTCACCTTCACGCCCCCGGCCAGCTCGTCCTCGCCCCCGACGCCCACGCAGGTCGAGGGCTCGCCGGGGCACAAGAGGTCCACCGCCTCGCCCGCGCTCGCTGAGGAACAGGTAGGAGGATGTTGGTTCAGTTGACAGGGTTGTGAGCTGTTATCATTAAGCCTTTATTACTTCATTAGGAGTTGGGAATGTATGGATTTGGGAATGATTGAGAAGTTATCAATCAAACCGTTATCCGCATGAGAATAGATTAGAGTAACGCATCGCAAGTTTTCTAATTAAGATACGGAATACGTTCCTTGTTTCCATCACGTTTCATAAGATTCCAATCCGATGTTAATAGAAAATAGAAAGAGACCTGCAATCTTCCTGTTTCATACTCACACACGCTCACAGGCTATTTGTCTATCTTTGAGCTCTTTCAACCAGCTCGTAAAGTGTTATTTTTCAATCCTATATGATAAGAGAGATAAGCTGAGCGCCAGAAGAAGGCTCTCGATCTCATCCTGTCCCTTCTTCTCCCCTCGACGCCGTCCTGCAGGTGAGCAAGCGCTTCAAGGGCGAGCCTCTGCCCTCCTCCCTCGAGAGCGACCTGGCTGCCTTCCCCCCGCGGTGCACGCCCCCGGCCTCCGCCCCGCCCCAGCCGCGCCCCCATGGCAGTCCCTTCTTCTCCGGCGACCCCCCAAGCCCGCCCCGGTCCGCGCCGCCCCTGGGGGAGGACCTGGCGCCGAGTGACCTCTCGCTCGACAAGGTGAGTGCCGCGTCGGGTCAAGTAGGGTCATGAGTTTGAGACGGAAGGAAGGTTGAAGTATTCTATTAATCAGATACAGACGAAAAGATAGAGAAGAGCCTTTAATGACGCTGTCTGTCCCGTCCCCAGGAGGGCGCCGGCGGGCTGAGCCTGGTGCCGCCCTCGCGCCTCCTGCACCCCACGACCTCGGCCTCCAACCCGGCCTCTCCCAAGGGCGACCTCCCGGCGTCGCCCACCCTCCACGACAAACGGCGCTTCACCTCCTCGCTCTCCAGGTCGTCGCTGCACGAGCCGCTCACGCCCTCCACGCCCTCCACGCCCACCACGCCCAACCTCCCCGCCCTCGGCACGGGTAAGCGCCGCCACCGCAGGACGCCCTGTGGCGATCCATGCACTAAAAAGACATTAATGTAATACCGAAATTCTAAAAAAAAAAGCTCTCATATATGTATATATGTATGTATGTATTTCTGCCTGTCCGTATTTTCTGTGTCTGTCTGTATTTCTGTTCCTCTCTGTCTCTCTCTCTCTCTCTCTCTCTCTCTCTCTCTCTCTCTCTCTCTCTCTCTCTCTCATCTCTCTCTCTCTCTCTCTTCTCCTCCCTCCCTCCTCTCTCCCTCTCTCCTCCCTCCTCCCTCCCTCCTTCCCTCCTTCCTCCTTCCCTCCTTCCCTCCCTCCCTCCCTCTCCCCCCCTCCCCCCAAAAAAAAGCCCTGACGCCCCTGTTCTTCCCCCCAGACTCCGTGGGCGGCACCAGCTCGGGCAGGGGCGGCGTGTCCCCCAGCCCCGGGTCGCGCGTCCTGCTGTGGCGGTTCCTGCTCGACCTCCTGCACAACCCGCGCTACTCGCCCATCTACATCCGCTGGCTCGACCGCCCCGCCGGCATCTTCAGGTGAGTCCTCCTAAAGCCTTAGAAGACGTCTTCTCATACCCACACACCTGCCCCCCCCTTTTTTTACCACATTCTAGCCCTTATTTCATCCATTTTCTTTATCTTATCGGTCATAGCCCTGTCTACGAAGACTTTCTAAACCTTTTTACCACATTCTAGCCCCTATTTCATCCATTATCTTATCTTATCGGTCATAGCCCTGTCTACGAAGACTCTCTAATATACTAGATGCATTATATCTTCTTCAGTGTAGCAAGTTAGCAAGTTAGTAGATTTTCTTAATTGAATCACTTCATTGATATGACTGAACTGGATAACTTGTCCAAAGACGTTACTTGGGTATATTTTCATCCGGTGTATCTCAGATTAACCACTGTTTTAAAAATTACTGTCCTCTTCATCAGACATTTTGTCTGTATATAAGCTTAAACCCAACTAGAGTTCGTCCAATTTCAGAAAAGGAATAACCGGCAACTCAGACTAGACAACTCTGATTCGTTGTCTCTTTTTCAGAAAGAGAAAATGTGGTGTAAAGTAATAACTGAACTGTATATGAGTATTAGAAATTCTAGACATATGTAAAAATGTATATTAAGTGTCAGTTGATTAGAATGATAATAAAAAAAACGAATCGGAGTCTTGGGGTGAGTTGCCAGTTATTCCTTTCCTGAAATTGGACGCGCTGTACACCACATTATCACCTTTTCATTTCATGTTATTCTGTTTTGGTTTTCCTCTCGTTTCTTTCCTTCTCTTATTCTCATCATACGTTATCCATCCCACAATCCCCAATTTATCATCCATCTTCAACAACCTATCCCTTTAGAATACTTGTCTCCCTGTCAGCTACCATTGGTTGTAGATTAACCTTTAGAAAAGCATGTACATTTAATTTTACTTTGATTCTTAGACGTTTTACTCTGCATGAGAATGAGCACAAGTAGCATGAGAACCAGTAGCATCATGTATAGAATGGTACTCCTTTATAACCATAGAGTAAACCTGCACGATCTCAAGTAAACATCAGCACGGTAGTAGTAGTTATTAAAAGGGAAATACTTAAGGTTTTCTGTGCATGATCTCAGTAAACATCAGCACGGTAGCAGTAGTTATAAAAAGGGAAATACTTAAGGTTTTCTGTACATAATAACCTTGGTGCGTGGAGTGTTTTTGACTAATAATGGCCGCTACAGAATCATGGAGTCTGACATGGTAGCCCAGCTGTGGGGGATGGCCAGGAAGAACAACAACATGAACTATGAGAAGATGTCGAGGGGCATGAGGTAAGTCAAGAAGGGTTTGTGTGAGGGAAGGAAGGAAGGAGGGAGAGGGGAGAGGGAGAGGGAGAGGGAGAGGGAGAGGGAGAGGGAGAGGGAGAGAGGGAGAGAGAGGGGGAGAGAGAGAGAAGAGAGAGAGAGAGAGAGAAGAGAGAGAGAGAGAGAGAGAGAGAGAGAGAGAGAGAGAGAGAGAGAGAGAGAGAGAGAGAGAGAGAGAGAGAGGGAGAGAGAGAGAGAGAGAGAGAGACAGAGTGGGGAGAGGGAGAGAGAGTGAGGGGGGAAAAGAAAGAGAGAAAGAAATAGAAAGAGAAGAAAGAGAGAGAGAGAGAAGGAGAGAGAGAGAGAAGAGAGACAGAAAGAAAAAAGACAGACAGAAATACAGACAACATCCATGCATACAAACATACATACATACGAATAAACAGACAGACAAACTACCTTCTATCTCTTAAACCATTCTACAAACGCATGACCTGCATGAGCATGATAAAACCTCTCTGTTTCGGGTGTCTATTCCGCATGTCCTCAGGGTTGAAATAGACGAATAAGTAGTTGAATAAGTAGTTTATGTAGACGAATAAGTAGTTGAATACCTCCCACTCCCCATCCCCCATCCCCCTGACTCAGGGTTGAAATAGACGAATAATAGTTGAATAACCCCCCCACCCCCACCCCACCTCCTCAGGGTTGAAATAAACGAATAAGTAGTTGAATACCTCCCCACCCCCCCCCCTCAGACTCAGGCTTGAAATAGACGAATAAGTAGTTGAATAACCCCCCACCCCCCATCCTCCACCCACCCCCCCTCCTCAGGGTTGAAATAGACAAATAAGTAGTTAATATCCCCCCATCCCCTATCCCCGTGACTCAGGGTTGAAATAGACGAATAAGCAGTTGAATAACCCCCCACCCCCACACAACCCACCTCCCAGGTTTACATAGACGAATAAGTAGTTGAATAACCCCCCCCCTCCACCATCCCCATCTCACCCCTCCACCCGCACCCCCACCCCACCCCCCCTGACTCTCAGAGTTTCTATAGACGAATAAGTAGTTGAATAACTCCCCCCCCCCCATCCCCCATCCCCCACCCCCCCACCCCCACCCCACCTCCTCCGAGTTTCTATAGACGAATAAGTAGTTGAATACCCCCCCACCCCCCCACCCACCACCCTCCCCCCCGACTCAGCACGCTTGCTCGCCCATCACCGCACTTTTGATAATGCAGTTTCCTCATCCGACGCCTTCCGTTCGGGACCTTAAGACCTCCGACCGGATCCTCTTCGGTGTGTCGAGAAACTCCTGCAAACGAGAAATATTTTTTAAGTGGTGTCGTTTATGTTTCGTTCGTGTTTTTTTTTGTTTTTTTTTTGTATTTTTGTCTTTCGTTCGTTTTCTTGTCTTGTCCGTTCTGTTTTGTCCGTTTTTTTTGTTTGTTTTTTTTTTTTTTTTCTTTTTTGTCTTCGTTCGTTTTCTTGTCTTGTCCGTTCTGTTTCGTCCGTTTTTTTTGTCTTTCGTTCGTTTTCTTGTCTTGTCCGGTCTAAAATACTTTCTTTCGTTGTTTTCTCGTTGTTATTCGTTCTATAATACTTTCTCTCGTTGCTTTCTCGTTGTTATCCGTTCTAGTTTTTATTCCCTCTATTTATTTTCTTGTCTTGTTATTCCCTCCATTCATTTTCTTGTCTCGCTGATATTTCCTCCATTTATTTTCTTGTTTTGTTATTCCCTCCACTTATTTTCTTGTCTTGTTCTTCCCTCCATTCATTTTCTTGTCTCGCTGCTATTCTCTCCATTTATTTTTGTTTTGTTATTCCCTCCATTTATTTTCTTGTTTTGTTATTCCCTCCATTATTTTATCTCGTTATAATTCTTCCACTAATTGTCTTGTCTCGTTATTCCCTCCATTTATTTTCTTTTTTTGTCATCCCCTCCAATTATTTTCTTGTCTCGTTCTCATTCCTTCCACTAATATTCTCGCCTCGTTGTCAGTCCCTCCAACATTTATTTACTCCTCTCACGTTCTTGTTCCCCCTCCCCTGCAAACGTTTCCAAACGTTCGCCCTAATTCAACATTAAAAAAAAACAAACGTTCCTCCTCATTCAATATTAAAAAAAAACGTTCGCACGTTCTTGCCCCCCCACTCCAAACGTTTCCAAACGTTCGTCCTCATTCAACGTTAAAAAAACGTTTGTTCTCTTTCAACGTAAAAAAAAAAAAAAACGTTCGCCCTCATTCAACGTAAAAAACACAAACGTTCATCCTCATTCAACATTAAAAAAAAAAAACATTCACCCCAATTCAACATTAAAAAAAAAAAAAAACATTCGCCCTCCTTCAACATTAAAAAAAACCCACAAACAAAACCAAACCAACGAGGTTTTTTTACTCTTTTCACTCCGTTCCTCCTCATTCAACATTAAAAAAAACCACACAATCAAAACCTAACCAACGAAGTTTTTTTTTTTTTTTACTCCTTTCACTCCGTTCCTCCTCGTTCAACATTTAAAAAAAAACACAAACAAAACCTAACCAACGAGTTTTTTTTTTTTTTTCACTCCTTTCACTCCGTTCCTCCTCCTCCAACATTAAAAAAAAAAAAACACACACAAACAAAACCAAACCAACGAAGGTTTTTTTTTCACTCCTTTCGCTCCGTTCCTCCTCATTCAACATTAAAAAAACAAAAACACTCACCCCCCTCAACATTAACATTCACCCTCCTCCAACATTAAAAAAAAAAACACAAACAAGACCTAACCAACGAGTTTTTTTTTTTTTTTTACTCTTTTCACTCCGTTCCTCCTCATTCAACATTTAAAAAAAACCCACAAACAAAACAAAAACCAACGAGTTTTTTTTTTTTCACTCTTTCACTCCGTTCTCCTCATTCAACATAAAAAAAACATTCGCCCTCCTCCAACGCTAAAAAAAAAAAAAAAAAAAACACAAACAAAAACCAAACCAACGAAGGTTTTTTTTTCACTCCTTTCGCTCCGTATCAAGACCGACGTCCCCTTTCCTTCACCCAGAACCGCGGCGGCGACGGCGGCCAAACGAAGCAGGAAGAGCATAATCGTTTAGATTAAAAAAACATCGTATATAACACAGGATACGAGTCGTGGCGGGAAGTGACTAACTCATTTTTTTGGCCTTTTATTTTATTTTTTTTATTTTTTTATTTTTTTTTACTGGTAGATGCGTTGTTATCGTACGAGTGGGGCGATAGATGAGATAGACTGGAGACTGTGTTGTTGTTATTGTTATTGTTATTATTGTTATTATGTATATTGTTATTTTTTATTTATTATTATTATTATTATTGTTATTATTATTTATTATTATTATTATTATTATTATTATTATTATTATTATTATTATTATTATTATTATTATATTATTATATTATTATGTTATTATTATTATTATTATCATTATTTTTTTATTGTTATCATCATCGTAACTATTATGAAGATGTGATGTCAAAAGAAAATGTGATTTGATGTGTATTCTGTTTTATCTTTCTCTATTTTTATTTATCTTATTCAAATCTTTTTTTTAAGGAGATGTGATCTTAATGAACCTTCTGATAGACGATTTAAACTTACCGATCCAAAACCTGACATACTTTTAATCTTTTTCTCTCCCCCCCCACTCTCCCAGAGATCGCCAATCCATGCCAATATCCAGATGACTAACGCACGCGAATATTCCCCCCACAGGACTTACTACAACCAATCCATGCCAATATCCAGATAACTTACACACGCAAACCCCCCCCCCCACAGGACTTACTACAACCAATCCCATGCCACTATCCAGATGACTAAACGCACGCACCCCCCCCCCCCCCACTGGACTTACTACAACCAATCCATGCCAATACCCAGATGACTAACACACGCAAACCCCCCCCACAGGACTTACTACAACCAATCCATGCCAATATCCAGATAACTAACGCACGCAAAAACTCCCCCACAGGACTTACTACAACCAATCCATGCCAATATCCAGATGACTAACACACGCAAAAATTCCCCCACAGGACTTACTACAACCAATCCATGCCAATATCCAGATGACTAACACACGCAAAAACTCCCCCACAGGACTTTCTACAACCAATCCACGCCAATATCCAGATGACTAACGCACGCAAATATTCCCCCACAGGACTTACTACAACCAATCCATGGCAATATCCAGATGACCATAACGCACAGCAAAAACTCCCCCACAGGACTTTCTACAACCATCCATGCCAACATATCCAATACTAAACCACGCCAATATTCCCCCACAGGACTTACTAACAAAACAATCCCATGCCAATATCCAGAGTGAACTAACGTGCACAACGCAAAAAAACATCCCCCACAAGACTTTTCTTATCACCCAATGCACGCCAATTATCCAGATGACAACGGGGCACGCATATATCCCCACAGGACTTACTACAACCAATCCAAT